ATGAATATTTATCTAGATGAAAATGTGATCATCAACTTTTCATTCTACATCTTCAATTTGGCAGGCCTTGTTGAAATGTTCAGACTTGTTAATATCAACCTTTTAAAACATAAAAATGTAAAATAAATTATGGAAATGAGAAACCAATCTTGTTTAAAAAGTTGCTAAATAAAGTATACTATAGGCAAGATGTATAATCTGGATAGTATGAGCAATTCTTACTTTATGCCTAGGAATTCAATAGAAGCTATTTTTACCAGAGCTTAGACCTCCTCCTACGTTACATCTTTTCCTCAGTTCACCCTTCTCATCAAGTTCAGTGTGCATAGTTTTTACATATTGTTTATGTGGCATAACCTTGGGCATGCTCACAATGTCATGTCATTTCAGCAGCCATTTTGTTTTCTCATGGGAACAAGGTATTTCCTGCTATATTCATATGATTGCCTTCATTAAAGTTCTACTTCTTTTATGAAAAACGATATGCATTTTATAATTTCTTTTACTAAGCTGATTACATAAGTCTACATGTGGAAATTTTACACATATCCATACTTTTTTGTGCAAAGGGGTAAGTTATGAAACAAAGTATTCTGAGGGAAAATTCAAACGGGGTTTCAGGAAGGCCTGACAATTGGCATTCAAAAGTTTTTTTTTGTTTGTTTTTCCCATATCTTACTACATATTATCTCCAGAAACAAATGACCTGTCTTTGAGATTAAACTCTTGCTATAATTTAGATGAATTCTCTTAATGCACATTATACATATAATAACATGCTTTAGTTTACATGTAAATTTTTTATAAAAATAAATTTCTCATATTCTATTCATTTCATATTCCCAGTATAATATATTAATAATCAAACCCTGAATAAGTTAAGAGCCTCAGAGTCATGGAACAGAAGAACGTAAAAGTATCTTCTAGCCTCGGGCTCTTTCTAATCCCTCATTCAAGCTTTCCAATGAAACTTTCTCTCCAGACACCTGCAAAGTATAGCTCTCTTATCAGACCCATATGAATGCTTGATTAAACAACTGTTTTACTTTTTACTCAAGTTTAAGTGGGTAATTTGACAGTCTGAGAAGGATATTGGTGTCTACCTATATGGAATTTACTCATCTATTGAGAGTTCTAGCAGAATTATCCATGGTTAGTTTTCTCTATTAGTTACTGTATCACAATGAAGAGCATCATAAGTTTGGACCCTGTAAAGCTTTTTGACTTTCTTTCTTATATAGTAAAGTTCATCCTGACAGCAAATATGTGCAAGAAGATCTCTTGAGGCTGTTTGCTGAGAGAAAGGAAAGGTCGATAACCTTCAATACAAGCAAGTCTGAAGTAAAAATAATTCTAAAACCTTTGTTGGGTGGTGAGTTCCAAGTTATCACTGACACCATGGCAGAGGGAGAGAAGAGCCATTATGAACTGCTTTCTAAAGATATAAAACACAATAGATTTAAATAGTCAACAATGTTGAACTTCAACAAGAAAGATACTGAAATAACGTAGAAACCTTATTCTGCCATTGTAATGAAACACAAGGTAACTGGTTCTCTGAAGCTGAATACAGTTCTTATTGCTGAAACATTGCAAGGTATATAAAATAACAGAAATTCCCAAGCAAAACCATACTTAAGAAGAAAAAGAAATTGGTTTGAAAGGTTAGGCTTTAAAGTTAGAGAACTTTCCTACCTACATAAACATGAACATTTGTGATATAAATATATAAAACAAATAAGTCAAAAGTGTTTTGATAGGATAAACAAATGAGAGGTATTAAAGTGAGCATTTCTCATACATCAAGGTATTATGAATGTGAGGAAGATCTTTTGAAAATGGAAGAAAAGTAAATTTAGTGCAAATGAAAAAGTATTAAAGTATTATTTTGTACAAGTAGCTCACAGAGGTGATGTGCTTTGAAAATCTAAGTCAGTTCAAGAAGACTTAAGGAAAAAAACATAAACAGAGTTCCAGTCTACCACTGAGACAATTAATATGATGGGGGACACACTTATAGGCCGCAGGATTTTTATAAGTCATTCACTCTTGATATTATAAATATAGAACCTTACAAACAATGAACTTTGAAATGTTCTGCTAAGGGATTCAGGGCCACTTACTTTATCAGACAGCAGGACAGGGCAAGAGAAGATAGAGGATTCATTAGTCTAGTCATCAAATCAGACCACACTTTTTTTATATATATCACAATTTTGGTAAAAGAATAAAGCATTCTTACCCTGATGTCTTTAGCCTGGTTCTCCCCTTCAACACTATCCCTTCCCAAAAAAGATCAATTTTCTCTGCCTTAATAATGGTAGCTTAGCAGACAGGATGATGGGATTCAGGGGGACTTTAGATGTCATTTACTCTAAATCTTTCATTTTGTACACAAAGACACTGAAAACCCTGAAAGCTTGTGACCACCCATAATTTAATAGTCTCCTAGTGGTAGAACCTGAGCATGGATTTAAGTCCAATGCCTTTTGCAGAACAGCCCAACAGCATAGCACACAGCCCTTATAATCGTGAATCTAGCAAGGCACTGAGAACTCAGTCTCAGATGCAAGGCACTCACAATTCACTAGACTTTGGTGAACAATGTAACTGTTTGACAGATCTCTTTGATAAATAAACATTTTTTCCTCATACCCGTTATCTAAGCAAGATAATCATTTGCATGCATATTTTTTTAATTCTAGGAAATCTCTTTTCATTCCGTAATTCTCAGTAAAGTTAACTCCCTACAATCAGGAAATATTGAGAAAATGTTGCCTATAGCAGATATTTTTTTCTCAGCTGGAATTATCATACTCACAATTCAATCTATACCTCACTTAATCATTTAGCTGTGGCTGGGTGCAGTTTCTTCCAGCCAACATTCATGGAATATTGTGTTAGAAGTTTGGTATGTAGCAGGCAACCAATGACTGTTTTCACTGGACAAGCTATTAGAAGTTTGGACCTCCTATTTTTTAAATATTATTTACCATTTTATGACATTATATCACAAATCTATTTGTTTATTATCCATTTATTCCAGTGAAATTTAAGCTTCATTAGCAGAAGGGCTCTTTGTTTGTTGCTTTACTTTTGTATCACTATCACCCTTCACTGTGCATTCTGCCTGGAAACTATTTGGCACGTTTTCATTGGTGGTATCAAGGAGAGATTAGGAATACTCTATCTGCTTACATTTTATTGTATCTATAGTATTTTTTAAAATGAAATGTTCTGCATTTTATTTGAGACACTAGAATTTTTAGACATTTAACTTATCCATAATGGAAAATGTAACATCCTAAACTCTTCTGTAAAAATTGTTCCAAATACATTTTCTAAAAAGAAAACTCCCTTAAAAATATTCTTAATGAGATATATTTAATTTACATGAAACAGGCAGGGTTATTTTATCCTTAATACCAACTGCAATGTCATAATTATCTTATTCCAAAAGACACTTAGGACACTTACAGATGATGTGAGTCTTATTATTTTTTTTTTTTGTCGCCCAGGCTGGAGTGCAGTGGCACAATCTTGGTTCACTGCAACCTCTGCTTCCCAGGTTCAAGCTATTCTCCGGCCTCAGCATCTCAGGTAGCTGCGATTACAGGCTATGGCCACCATGTTCAGCTAATTTATATATTTTTAGTAGAGACGGGTACTACTTGAACTCCTGATCTCAAGCGATCCACCTGTTTTGGCCTCCCAAAGAGTGCTGGGATTACAGGCATGAGCCACTCTGACCTGCCCGGCCTGAGCCTTTTTTTTCCAATTTAAACACGATCATATTTTATACACTTCAGATTAATGAGAACTTATTCTATTTTAAAGTTCACCTAAGGATTTTGTTCAGTTATGTATGTAAAACATCAAATCTGGTCACTATTAACTTTTCTTATTGACAATACTTAAAGTATGGCTTTTATAATTTTTAAAACTGAAAACCCTATCTATCTCAAATAGGCTGTCGTTTTTTTTTTTTTTTTTTTTTTTTCTGCCTTGCTCTCATTTTAGTCTCTTCAGCCGTTTTGAGGGTTAACCCTAACTGCTATTCTGAGCTTCTGAGTCCTGAGATTTGTCACATATTTTCTAATAGCCAAATGATGAGATGGATATGATAGCAAAGAGTTTTAAAATGGTGAGCTAAATTGAGAAAATGTGATTTCCC